ACAAGCCTTTATTTGAGAAGTCTATTTGTTGAGAAGAATTGGATGAGGAAGCTATTAAAGTGATATGGCTAACTATTCTGAAAAATCTTTCCACTAGCAGTCACTTTATTTTTCTGTGTAATAACTTTGCTAACTGAACTATAAACCTGTAGTTTAAGTGAGCAGTAGCACTAAAATATTTATTCAGTAATTATATCCTTGGAATGTAGGAGAAGATAGAGGAATAAATCTTTTTATTCATCCCAACGAGTTAATTTTCTTGACACTAAACAAAAAGAGGAATTCAATAGTCAATGTTTGTGTAGCAACTTAAAACCTACAAAATTCCTTTAAAACACATTTAATAACTAAACCCTTTTGTGAGTGTGTCAGTCAGAGAGTACTTGCATGGAGGTACGTAAATGTGCATATGTGGGATTAGGGCAGAACAAGAGACAATCTCATTGCAATTACTCAGGCACCTTCCCATTTACTTTGAGATTGAATTTCTGACTGACCTGGAACTTTACCATATATGCCAGGCCAGCAAGGAGTCCCCAGGGTTCAGCCAGTCTCTGCCACTGTCCTGCCACTATCAATGGGGTGACAAATGGCATTACTATATATGTCTGTATTGATTTGTTTGCTTGTTTGCTTTGGGTGGCTTCTGGGCATTCACACTTTGATCTCTGTGCTTCTGAGGAAAGTGCTTTACCAACCAAGACATCTCCTTAATCCATGCATTAAGTTTTTGAGTCAATTCCCTATTCAGTTTATAATTGAGGAAATGGAAAGTTGGGGAGCTTTGACAATCACCTAAGAATCTGTTCATTGAAGTATAGGCCATCTCAATATTTCTAACTGTGCATAAGTAAGCCAAATAAGAATGTAGATGTGGTATATGCACACGTCTCTCATTTTCAATGACTACTACAGGGTCAATGACCAAATTGTGCTAAATCAATGTGCCCTTTATGAAAATAGTTAACTTGAGTGTACTTCTCACAGGAATAGGAGACTTGGGAGGGAGAGATGGTGAGCACAGATTCACCTATTTTCATTTTTACCAAGGCAAGCCAAACATAGGATTTTAATTATTTGAATTTATGGCCACAGTGATAAACCTAATAATTTCAGTTAATATCTCTTTTTGAAAAATTGATTCTGTATCATCTTGGCTAGAATTAATTTTGAACTAGTTATGAAATATAATTGACTAGGAATTCTTTGCTCTATAGTATCACCATAATAGGAATTTATTTCATAATACCAAGCTTAGCTTTTACTCATTTGAACTCAGAGAAGGAATATGGAAGAAAGATATTGTCGTTTGAATGAACAGTTTATTTTGTATGAATAAATTGTTGGCTGACATGCATGGAATTTGGTCTTCTAACACATTAACTAGTCTAGTATAGTGGGATGCTCTTCTAGTACTCCTAAGTTCTAGGGACAATTTCATCATCTACTAACTACAATTAAGCATTTACATTGCAGAGCCCCTTCTTATATTAAGAGACAGAGACTCAACATAATTGACCACCAGTGGCTACTATGATTAAAGCATGTTTTAGCTTTAATTTTAGGCTCTGCTATATAGCCATGAAAATGTTATTAAACTGAAAAAAATACGTTCTTACAGATCACATAGTGTTGCGACTAATTGTATACATTTTTAATGTTTTATAAAATGCCTATGGATTTATTCATTCAAACCAACCTTGAAAAATATACACCATCATAGCTTGGAGTTGGCATGTAGTTATAGCAGCATCCATGTATCTATAGCTTCTGTCTGTTTTGTTCCCCTAAATTATTTAGTATCTTGTTTTGTAACAATTTGCTATGAATATACCACAGGTTTCTGGTATTATGAGTTCATGTTCATGATCAGGCAAAATATTTTTTCTAATTCCAGGCTATATGATATACTACATTTATAAAATGTTTAAAATGCAATATCATTTGTAATTGGTGACCTTTCCAAGGGGGGGGACAGGTAATTGTTAAAGCTATCATTTTTCTTAATATCTAATTTATTTCTTCTACTACAGTGAAACTCTGTTTTGTTATCTACATTTGAGAGAGAAAAAGTAATTCATTCATTAGAAAATATGCGCTATTAGCAGGAGATTTCCACTCTATATTGCTTTCCTTTTGTTTGCTTTGAATTGGTTGCCTAATACATTCAAAGTTTTTTTTAAAAATGTGTTCTATTTGTGATTATATGGATTTTCTCACAGCAATTTTATATGTGGTATAATATGAGTATACCATTTCTTCCCATGAAAATTATATTCTATTTCTTACCTATCTCTATTAAATAAATTTCAGACTGTATATTCTTCTGTGTGTGATATGATGAATGTATTAGTTACTTCTAGTTATTTATTATGACTCTAGCATCTGGGATGCACATAATTTCCTCACAGTGTCCTCAATAGTTCACTGGAAGTAAGTTTCTAGTTATGGGGTGAGGGCTGTGGGACTAGTAATGTACATATCACACACAGAAGAATATACAGTCTGAAATTTATTTAACTAGAAGTAACTAATACATTCATCATTGTCTCTCTCTCTTCCCTATTTTCCCTCTTCCAAGGTCCAAAACAATTGTTAACAACTACACTATCTGTATATGGAGTTCTTCATTTAATGTTTATCCCCAGTCCAGTGTAGTAGAAAGCAACTCGGTCAGCTGGATAATTAATTCACAATGATTACAACACAAGGAAGATCCTAAGTCCAGTTTACGTAATGTAACTCTATCTATTAAAAAATAAAGTGTTTTGGTTTCATGACACTTAAAACATTTTTTCTTTATTTTAATTACTTTTTCCTTATTTTTAATTTAACTTTTTACACATTAGTGGGAGGTCTTAGTTATTTTAAATAGTGGAATTATACCTATATTCTTTTTCATCTGGAAAAAAGCAGTTTCTTATTAACATCCTTTACACCACTCACCCCAAATCACAAACTTAAATGAACAGCAACATCTGAAATGGAACTCTGTTGTCAGTTCTCAGAAGACACTATTAGGCACTTAAAGTATTGTAAACAGCAAAACTGATTTAATTTGTATGTACCACTGTTTACCTAACGTATCTATGTGTTCCTGGTATTAATTGAACTCTAAAATGTGAATGGGTCATTTCTGTCCATGAAAATGTGTGGGATAGTTATAAATCATACAGTCTGCACCATGTACATTTGTTGACAGTGTTGGACAACTTACATCTATTGATAGAGCATCCTACACAACAATGATTTTTAAAATACTACTGACTTGATCTTTATTTAGTGAAAACCATGCATAGATTTTATCTTTTACAATATACACACATTTTCAATATTTTCCTCAAATTTGTTTCCTGTAAAGAATAGTATATTAACTTCTTAATTTGGTTTAGAAGATTATGTTTTTGCAATATGCCAGTCACTAATTACTCAAGGGAGAAAAATCAGTTAACTATAGGTAAAAGACTGAACAAACTTCATGAGGATTTTATAAATGGCCACTGGGTTGAACAGGTTATTGTCTTCATTTTGGGGAGAAACAGATTGCTATGGTTGCCAAGAGTAACTGTCATACACAAGTCTGTGGACACTCCACAACTGAACAGCTGTGTTGTGCAGGGCCACAATGTGTCTTAAAATGTATGTTGACCATTCATGTTTAAATTTAAATAGAGAGGGCTATGTTCTTCACACCACGGTCAACCTCACTGCTTAATTTATATTTATAGCTGGCCTCTCCACCATCTGTGCACACAGCCCACACTGCACCTCTGAGGAATTAGAGTCACATTATTTGAAGATCAGATTAAATAGCCAGGAAAAAGCAATCCATCACTTATGGGGGTGTAAGAGTGTCATAGTAATATTATTTCATGGTTTGGAACTTCTTTGTTTATTTCTTACCATTTCTTCCTAGTTCAATGAAAAAATGTAAAAGAAACTGCTCAAATACTGTCACTGACAATACTCTAAACTTAGATCATAAGGATCACCCTAAATTCACTTTAGTGCAGAGCCCAATAACATTACTGACAGAGAACAGTTATTTGTGTTTCTCAGGCATCTCTATACTAGGTCCTACCTCTGTTTAAGCTTCTGACTTAACTTCACACCTGCCTATGTCTCTCCCTTTTAATAGAGGATAGGGCCTATGGCGACAGGTTTCACCAAGAAAGCTTCAACTTTGATTTAACCTTGTTCCTTTCAAGGGTAAAAATACAGTTTCTTCCCACTGTTGACTCTTCTTTTTCATTGTGAACAGCACCAGATAGTTTTCAGTGGGAGTATCTTTTCCATTTGTCATGTTTGCCGTCATTCCCAATCAGCCTCTTCTCTCTCTTTCTTTTTCTCCACCCTCCCGCAGGGAATCTCTTGGAATATATATACTCATTTATCTGAAGAGAGGGAAAAACCCCACAAAAACATAAAGATAGACATATTTCAGAACTTCAGGCAATGCTCGAGTCATGTGGGAAACTTCCAGGGATGACCCTGGGCCTCTGCTCAGTTCTAGCAGGTAATAGGATGATCTGCAAATTCTTTTCCTGCAATTTATATAGATGCAAGAATGGTGTAAATATTTGTGCATTAGTCTTATGTATACATGTGTATATATGTACATAAAACTAAATTTAGACATAATACATATAAGCTGGGTGTATGCATGTATATACCAAAAGTATTTTATATTTATACAGAATATTAGGAACAAAAGTTGGTTAAAAAGACAAAGAATAATAATCTGTTGTTGGCTGTCATGAAACGAGAAGCCTACTATTCATAGGGTTTAGATTTAATTTTATATATTTGACACGTAGAGGAACAAGACAGACAGGACTAATGAAAAATTTCTTAGAAGGGCTATGTTGTAAATACACATATGTATACCTTGATTGTACAAATAATTTCATGCTGTCTTTGAGCCACAGCGAAATTGTGTGAATGTTACAAACAAGCCACACATAATTACGACTCTAAGTCCTGTAGTTTCCATGTCTTACCAGGCTTGGGTACAATCAGCTGGGCACTACTTTGGGCATTACCGGCCTCGTTTTCAGCCATGCACTGATAAAAGCCTTCATCTGACTTCACCACCCCAAGGATCCGTAAATTGCTTCCTCCCTAGAAAGAAAAGGAAAAGCATAGGAAATATTTTGTAAAAGGCAGAATAACTTCAAGATAACAATACAAACACAGAGCACAGAAGACATAAGAAATATCATGAGAATATCTAGCCAATGGGCTCTATGCCATTTGTAAAGTATTTCTCATTCCTCACAGTCTTTTCTTATTTCAAGAGAATAATTCTGCCTACTTCTGCAAGGGATATATACTCACGAAATAGACATCTTTCTAGACATTTAATGTTGAATTAAAAAGTCTTTATCAGGAATGCAAGAAATCAAAATCAGTATTAAAAAAACCTTTATGAAATGAGCTATATTAGGGGATTTATAGGTAACTAAACAAGAGGGAATAATGGAAAAACATTCTTTTTTGAAACTTCTAAAAAGTGAAGTATCTAGGTTAAATCATTTCTGTAACTGTTTGACCAAAGAAATGTTTGAAGATCCTTTAAAACAGTAATTTCTTTGACATAATTTTGAGGTGACTGAAGTCTAGCCTATAAAAGATTTTTACACCCACAATGTTTCTGTTCACAGCAGAAATTTTCACCTTCAGGAATTCATTGTGGAAACACAGTAAAGTTAACTCCTTTGTATATAAATTGAACCACAATCTCTTTCAGGGATGGATGATAAAATGATCTAGAGATAGTTATTAATTATACAAACTCAGTTTATCTTCAGTATTAGTGTAAGAATTAGTTCAGTAAGTTAGACATGTTAAATCACTTCCCCTAAAGTCATTAAGAGATAAATATTACCTCACAGGAATTCTTAATTGTTTTTAGTGTCTTGTAGTCAATTTTCAACTGATGTAAAATTCTTAGATAAAGCTGGCTAACTTCTAATTAACAAGTCACTCCTAAGTTCCTATCTGAGCTCAGCACCACGTGTATAATACACAATGGCTCTCATATTTCTGCAACTATTCAGGAAATATTTTTAAGCACATTTTGATGTGAATAGGGCATATACCATACATTTTCTTCCATCCAAAGAAAAGAAGCATTTAAATAGCTAGGCTGTAATGAGTCATGCTGTGAGAAAGATTATTCAAACTGTAGAAAAAAATAAATGTTGCATTTTATCATGTGTCCTTAAGGGCACTCAACAATTTCCTTTTCACACAAGTAGCATATATTTTAGGCACATGGACCACTTTTCAAGCTGCCCAATGGCAGGTCATTTTTAATTCAGTGGTAGTGGAAAAAGCTTTGCATTTAAAGTAATGGATTGGTGTGGCATTCAAAAGTTAAGCGGTGCCCTCTCTTACTCTTACCCAACCAATTAAACAATCGAAAATAAAAGTGAAAATGGGAAATGGTGACAAAAGTGATAAAGATATGGTTTATGGATTTTTTTCTTTAGAAATATAATGTGATAAAATGCAAACAACTAAGAGATTATGGAAGTTACAGAAAGCTGTCTGATTGTGAAAGAGCCATTTACCAATAAGGGCACATAATGCCACAGGGGGAGACTGTGCTGGCCTCACGGGATGACCATACCCTGGTTCCATCTGCCTGGGAGACTTGGCTTTGTGATGCCTTTTCTTTGACAGGGTCACATTTGTCTCAAACACAAAAAGCTCCTAAGGCCATCTTCTTTAGTCACATAGTTCTTTTATATTTGAAAAGTGTTTTTTATAGTTCTTATATATTCATATGCCTGAAATCATAACCTTTGAAGTTAGACTGTACCTAACAGAGAGTTTTCATAGTGCTTTGTCAAATGAGCAAAGAATCTGCTAGTAAGGCAGAAATCCATGAATACAGCACCTATACCCCATGATCTCTCGCAGAGATGCTGAATATGAAGTAGAGTTTTTGGGGCCTGCAAGAGCTATGGTTCCTAGTCTCTTCTATTTCCAATGTGAAAAATATAGTTACAAAACAATACAGACTATGGGTGTCCCTGGCTAGGGCCAAGCCCAAAGTCACTACTACTATCATTACTTCTCAATAGGGTTACCAGACTTCATATGAAAAAAGAATAGGGGAGACAGCATACCTAACTGCAGTAACCAAGCAGATTAATAAGAATCATATCTTACTGAGAAGCATTACATGAGAAGCATTACAGTTGGTAGAAGCTGAAAAATAAATAATCCTGACCTGCATTCTAGGACTGAGAATTTAAATTCTAGCCCATGAAATGACAATAAAAACATTGGAGTCTCAAGTCCCTCACTTGCCTTCTCTTCTAATCTGTATTTCCTACCTCTTTCTCCTCTTTCCCACTCCTTTCCTTCCTTATTCCCTTCCTTTTGCCCACCTTCCTTCCTTCCTTTTCTTTTTAAAAAAGAAACGCACTGGATTAACTGCCTAGAATTCCAAGTCTACAAATTATTTGCTGTCTTAAAACAATTCCTATAAGATATCAGAAATTAGTGCACCTTATTTTTTAGAAAAGAAAAATTAGTGGAAAAAAGAGCAAATAATGACTAGGGTTGCAAAACCAATATGAAAAGGAGATAATTACCACTATCTGAAAATAATCACTAGGAATGACCACATCTCCATTCTTCATCCAATTCACAGTGGGCACAGGTTTCCCAGAAACTGCACATTCAAACTCAATGTCCATGCTTTCATAGGCATAGAGGTTGGAAGGGTGATTTAAAAACCATGGTGGAACTGCAAAGACAGAAAACAGCAAGTGAGTGGAGACATGGGCGTATGTGCTGTGGTCTCACTGAATTAAAAACACTGCCATGTAATTTGTGTCACTCCTCAACTCTTAGCTGATGAAACAGGAACTGGCATACGATTTGTGTTCCTCATCCCGGTGCAGTTAACCATGTTTTACCATAGGAAAGAAAAACAAACAGCTTTTGGGAAAAATATTAATGCAATAAACAATTTGAATACTCAAATGTTTGTATCCATTTGACCTGGAAGGTAGATAGTGCTAAGGCAACTATGATAGGACTGAACAGAAAGTTTACATGTGCAAGACAATTCAGATCATGAGATCTGAATGGCCTATAATAGCATGTTTCATCAAGATTTATTTATTTATAGACACTCTAGTAAAAATAACCTAGAGTTATGTCCTTAATACATTTAGCAATTATCCACTATTCTAATTTACTACACTATTATTAATTTCTGAGTATAGTATGTCAACTAATAATGTCATTGAACTTATTACCACATTGATAGTTGTTCCATAGTGGAAATTGACTTTTGAAAGAAACCTACAACACAACCCATCTTAGCTGAAAGACACTTTCTAGATTAATACCTCAAAATCAGGAGACAAATGCAGAGAGCTAAAGTGAAATATGACCTGAATATTCAAATAGTATGAGAAGGAACATAAAATTCAGTGAAGTATGAGTTAACAACCTTGGCTTATGTAGAAAACCAGCATTTTTAGCAACTATTTTCCAAGTCAGTCTGTATTTTTATCATTGTTTTACTGTGTTCAGTGATCAGCAAGTGATCATTTTTATACATTTAAGAAACTACTCATTTTCCTTTTTCTAAGCAGGATTAGCAAGTTTTCCCTTGCTGGCTGTGTAAGAATTCATGCTGTCTTTTTGTTGACCAAGCACTAGGACAATGGGGAAAGACAGTATAAACATAATGGTTTTCATCTTGGTTTCTTCCATCTTTCTTTCTCAGCCTGTCTTAGATAGTCTTGATTTGTAGCTAAATATTTGAACCTCCAGGACTAAGCTCATTTTAATTTCCTTAATCATTCATTGGGGCAATTGATTTAGATGACTGGACCCAGATTCATGAATATTCATTGTCTAAAGTCATGAAAAGAAATGTCTCAGAGCTGTTCTAAACACTGTATACAGGGCTAAATTATGTATTTAATATTGATAATATTATTAGCATAATGATGATTTTTTTCTGACTCCTTTGCCAGGTTCACTGACAATGTACCAAAAGACAACTGAAATATTTATTGAGTGTCTCTGAGGAAATATATATGACCTGAATCTTTACAACTCTGTCCTCAGTTTTACACAGATTTGCATGCGGTGATTATTTACTAAGCAATAGTCAGTATTTACTGGGAAAAGACTAAGTAGAATTTATTAGTCCACTCTCTTTATGCTTAGTATCTGCAACATAGTTCTCTTGGGCATGATGTATTATCCTTATTTTTTAAAACAAAAAAGTGACACTACGAGGTCCTTACATTACTTTCTTCCAAATTACACTCCCTGTAAATTAAGAGCCTGGTAGTCTGCTGCCTTGTACATGTTCTCACATCAGTAACCGCCTCTTTTGTCACCTAAAATTATGATGGAAAAGTAACTAAGAAATGTTTCCATCATTTCAGAAATGATGTATATAAGCCCTGAGAGCTATTTTAGAAATAATAGCATTTGTCTACACACCACAAATTTTCAGTATGTCTGTCCTCAGACATGGGAAACTCCCTAAGTCAAACTTCTATGTCTCATTAGGTTTGGGAAATATGTGAGGGCTTTGGAGGTTTGCAAAACTGGGTCATGTTCAAAAGTAAATTTTCTAGGTAATTAACTTTTTTGAAACAAATATTTCAATAATGTGAATGTCTATATACATATGTGTGCAATTAGACAGGGAGAAGATGAGGAAAGAAATATAGTGGAACAGAATAAAAACAACCTAAATGTTTAAAAGTAGGAACAAGAATGGTCACTGGTGTAGAAAAGGAATAAAGGACAGAAAATTTAAACAGTTCCAGAATAAAGCAAAGGTTTAATAACTCCAGTGATGGGATTACAATGGACTGTTTCAACTCTCCTCTGTATATTTGCTCTAAGTCCCTCTAATTTTATCCTTGTTTCTAACTTATGGAGAGGAACTGAAAATAATGACAGATAAAGTTTGGAAACAACACACATTTTAAAGGAAAACAATAGCAGAGCCAATCATAGTGTGTAAGTCATACCAAATCTATTACTCTTTTGTTCATAATCTATACAAATACAAATAAATCCTATATAAATGTATACATTTTCCTCTAACATCAAAATCAATCATAACACCAGAATGCTAGATGCATCCATGTACAATCTTAACTGCCATTGTTGCAAAAGTCTGTGTTTTATCGGTATAGAAAAATGAAAGTTCAAGTCTTTTGAATTATATTCCTGCATTCCATTAGTATTAGTTATTGTGAACACAATACATAAAGAATGCCTTCTTTCTACCTAAAATTGCTGCTCTATGGGGAAACGAACAACATCTGAACTTCAACCTTTACTTCAGTGTCCTCCTTCATACATAGTAGGAAATGATTTCAGATCTTTGCACACAATTTTTTTTATCCAGACAAATAATCCAAGTTAGTGCCTTCCCCATTGTCGGCTTTTCCTGTAATCAGGATTGCTTCTCTCTAAGTCCTGACTGAACTTTTCATTCCTCTTTTCAATTGTGAGGGCTATAGCTAAATTGGAAGTGTGATTCCATTAGGCTCAAGTCTATGATGAAAATAATAGGAGGATTGTCCCAAGATCCTAGTTCTATATGCACAATGACATCAAAATCATCCTATTGTTAACACAGAGGGTGGAAACTTAATACACAAGTGTAGATGCTGGCAAATCACCAACAATTAAGTTTGCGAATATGTGTGTATGTAAACACACACAAATACATATTTGCATAGGTAATTCTACATGTACATATGTATTCCCTTATATGTACATATAAAATATATGATCACATGGAATACCTGTATTTATAATAACATATGTTTTTATAAATATATATACATGTTTAATGAATATAAAATCGATAAACATTTTCATATTTTGAATTTCTACTTGGACTATGAAGTAAATAAAAACACATTAAGTAAGATAAAATAGAAATGTGTTGTATAACCAAAAATAGAAAACAGAATATGTTACTTTTATTAATAATACAAATGTGAAAAGAGACCTATTATTTTTCCTCAATCAAATATAATCTAGTCAGTCTTTTTGGTATTTGAAAGAAGGGAAAACATGTACATATTTTAAATATTTGGTGAAAATTTTATGGGTGAAAGCTATGTTTGGGTATTTTACACTGACTGTTGAAAGGTTAGATAAATTATATTAAAGAATTTTCCCAACTTCTCATTATAATACATATCCTATGAGGAAATCTTTCAGTCCACTTACCTAGGTTAATGGGTTCAGTCACATTACTGAATCCCCTTTGTCATTAATAACAAATGGTAAGTCAGCCATATTTTCTCACCTGCTAGCATCCTTTCAATTCACACTAACACTTTAAGATGAGTTTATGCATTCCATGTTCCATGGGGGATCTTCAATGTCTATCATATCATTTGGAGCAGGACCTAGGCCCTCCCCTGTGTATCTAGGCTGAAAGAGTATCCTTCTTTGTAGAATGGGCTCCCAAAGCCCATTAATATACTAGGGATAAATACTGATCCACTAGCAGAGGATTGCTCAGGATTGGTACTGGACAGGGGAGGAGGGAGAGGAGAGGGAACTGGGATTCACATGTAAAACAAGCTTGTTAATAATTTAAATTAAAAAAATGGGTGGGAAAAAGATGAGCCCATGCAAAATCCATGAATAGTATGTGTTTTCCCTTTTCTCATTGAGAAGGTGCTATGGGTATTGAGAATACCTAAGGTGCTCTTTAGTTAATATTTGTTCTCGTTTTCTTTGTTTCTATGTTAACAAAACAATAACCAACGTAATGGGTGAACAGGGTTTATTTTACCTTTCAGGTTCAACCATAATTAAGAGAAGCCAAAGTAGTAACCTTAAAGCATGGACCTGGAGGCCAGAAAAGAAGCAGAGATCCTAGAGGAACTACACTAATGTGCTTGATTCACTTGGCTTACTCACTTTCTTATTCACTCCAGTCCCTCCCAGGAACACTAATACTCACAGGGACTATGTCCTCTCACATTAATCCACAGTCAATATTCTCACAGTATGACCACAGTTTATTTTTATGGAGTTACCTCTTTTGAGGTACATATGTTTGTATTGAGTTGACAATATTATACAGCACAGCAATGAAGAGTTTATTGGAATCTTTACTACAGTTCCATCTACCAAAAACAAAGGTAGGAAATAGAACCAACCACCCCAGGTGAATATTCTAAAAAGAGGTCATATGCTGCTTCATTTGAACTCACTATCCTCTACACAACAGTTACTTACACATTTCCATATTTCTGGGAAACTGAATACATAATGAGACATGGAAAGATATGAGATAGTCTAATTTAAACCATTGGACATGAAGGGTAAAGCATTACTTGAACATCCAGGAAAATAAAATAGGCAAAGAAAAGACAGGACTTCCATATGGTAATACTCACTGTCCATAAGCAATGTAACAATGATGCCCAAATGTACACATATGAACATTTATTCATAAAGCCACATTCTCCATTATAAAAGTGATGGCAGAATTCAGCCATTTATATTGTTTATCAATAAAGTCATGCAACTAAGCTTATATATTATCCAACTGTAGAATTCTGCACAGTGCTGAAGAACTGGCGATTTAAAACATGCTTAAATAGAGAAACAATAACAATCAAGGTAGAAATAATGAGTATGGAAGAGAATTACACCACTATAAGCCTAAACAAAGGGAAACTTTACCAAAGTGTATACTTTACCAAAAATCTGCATTTGGGGATGTGATTG